TCCCTACAAATTAATAGCTCTGCCATGATAAAACATGATTAAAGTTTAAAAGATCATAGAAGTGAAACCATGTACTGAAAACTACCATAGTTGCCTTGGCAAGGGAAATATATGCAAAACACAGAATCTAGTTTGTTGTGGAACTCATCAAAATTAATAGACAAGTCTCTGTCACGGCTCACACCTATAATCCTAACACTTTGGGAGGCCAAGGCAAGAGGGTCATTTGAGCTCAGGAGTTCAAGACCAGCCTGAGCAAGGCAAGACCCCATCTCTATTAAAAATAGAAAAAAGAAATAACTGGGCATTGGGGTGAGTTCCTGTAGTTCCAGCTACTCGAGAGGCTGAGGCAGGAAATCACATAAATTCAGGAGTCTGAAGTCCTGTGAGCTAGGCTGATGCCACAGCACTCTAGCCTGGGCAACAGAGTGAGACTCTGTCTCCAAAAAAAAAAAACAATTAATAGGAAAAAGTTTGTCTTAGGAGCCAGTGACTATAACAGTGTCTCTGAGGTAGGAGCAAGTGATGTCCTTTTAATTTTAATTTTTTGTTTTTTTTTTTGTTTTTTTTTTAGAGACAGTCTTTATTGCCTTGGGTAGAGTGTATCACAGCTCATAGCAACCGCCAACTCCAGGGCTTAGGTGATTCTCCTGCCTCAGCCTCCCGAGTAGCTGGGACTACAGGCATCTGCCACAACACCCAGCTATTTTTTGTTGCCATTTGGCCGGGGCTGGGTTCAAACCTGCCACCCTTGGAATATGGGGCCACTGCCCTACTCACTGAGCCACACGCGCCGCCCAAGAATCTTTGACTGTATCCCAGAAGAGGAGTCAACAGAGTCTTCTTTAGCACCAGTCATAGATAAGGGAGTTTTATACAGTGGATGAAAATAAATGAACCCAAGCGGTAGGAGAGTCGGACCATTAATGTAGATCAGCAAATCTTTTGAATCCAGCAAGAGATTTTGAGTCATAGAGGTGGGAAACTATGACTTTAAGAATATTATCAGTGTCCCAGTAATTTGGTTAAGTGTCCCTACCAGAAGGATTGTGATCTACCTCTTCAGGACAGCATCCTCCACTCTCCTAAAGAGAAGGATAAAACTCAGTCAGTTCTCCAGTTTCCCCAGGGATTTTTTAAAGGCATGAACAAAAAATAAAGAGACCTTTCCTTCATTTCAAAATCTCAGTTTAGGACCTGTTTAAAAGAGCCACCTAGAGGCACTTCTACTTCCAGCCAAATAGAAGCTATCCAAAATGAAATAGGGAAAAGAGAGGAAATGTTTTTAAAACATGAACATCATTGAGCTATCACTGAACATAAAGAGAAACCTCCAGTGGCCTAATGTTTGGGTAATTGGAGTTTCTGAAAGAGGAGAAAACAAGGAGGGACAAAAAAAAATTAGAGAAATAATGGTCACATTTTGCCAATTTTGATGAAAACTATAACCCACAGATTGAAGAAACTAAGTAAACCCAAAGCACAAGAAACAAAGAAAACTACAGTAAGGCATATCATAATCAGTAGCTGAAAACCAGTGATAAAAGAACAATCCAGGGCTTCCCATTTTGATTTACCCCTCCACTCCCGGAGGTTCTGTTCCCCTTTTCTGTTTGCACTCTTTTGCTTATCATGCATATCAATCTTTGTCCTTGTCAATAAACTCTATCCTGTTGCTTAAAAAAAGAAAAAGAAAATTGTAAAAGCAGCCAGAAGGGGGAAAAGCATGTTAGGTACAGGGGAGAAAAGATAAGGATCATCTGATTTCTCATTGAATATACAAGTGAAAAGACATTTAAACAACAGTTTTAAAGTACAGGAAGAGAAAAACCGTTGCCATAGGATTCTATAGCAAAAATATCTTTTAAAAATAAAGGCAAAATAGGTGGTGCCTATAGCTCAGTGGGTAGGGCACCGGCCGCAACAAAAGAATAGCTAAGTGTTGTGGCAGGCACCTGTAGTCCCAACTACTTGGGAGGATGAGGCAAGAGAATTGCTTAAACCCAGGAGTTAGAGGTTGCTGTGAGCTGTGACGCCATGGCACTCTACCGAGGGCGACATACTGAGACTCTGTCTCCAAATAAATAAAGTTTTCAGGCATGCACAACCTGAAAGAATTGATCACCAGCTGTTTTGCAGTACAAGAAATGTTAATGGAAGTTGTTCAGGCAGAATAAAAACAGTACGAGTTGGAAAGCTGCATATGGACAAAGGCATGAAGAAATGATAAATACATTGGTAAAAGTCTTTTTTGCTTCCTGGAGAACATTTAGGAGATTTTTTTTTAAATGCATTTTTGTTGTTGTTACAGTAAAACCTCTGTAAGTTGACCACCTCAGGGACTGTAATAAACTGGTCAACATACAGAGGTGGTCAACATAAGGAACTAGGCCTACTGTACTGATATGTACATGTGGTGCATGTCTGTTTTATGGAAATTAGGTCATCTTAAGGAGGTGGTCAATGTAGGGATCTGGTCAATTACAGAGATTCTACTGTGTTTAAAACAACATAAACAGGGTGGCATCTGTGGCTCAAAGGAGTAGGGCGCTGGCCCCATATGTTGGAGGTGGTGGGTTCAAACCCAGCACCGGCCAAAAACTGCAAAAAAAAAAATAGGAACTAACACAAGGAAGAGTGTATTAATTAAAGATGTGTACTATAAACCCTATAGCTGCCACCAAAATAAAAGCAAAGAG